GGCAGGAATGGATGTTCTCTGCAGTGACAAGACTGGGACTCTCACTCTGAACAAGCTTACTGTTGACAAGAGCTTGATTGAAGTGTTTGCAAAGGGTGTGGAGAAGGAGCATGTTATGCTTCTTGCAGCGAGAGCTTCAAGGACGGAAAATCAGGATGCCATTGATGCTGCAATTGTTGGGATGCTTGCTGACCCAAAGGAGGTATAGCTGCTTTAATGCAGTTTTCTCCGAGATCTCTGAATCTGAGGTTGCACAAAAAATCAGAACTTAAAGTAATAGTCCTTTTCATTATTGTTTGGCAGGCACGAGCTGGGATCAGAGAAGTTCATTTCCTTCCTTTCAACCCTGTGGACAAGAGGACTGCTCTGACTTACATTGATAGTAATGGAAACTGGCACCGGGCTAGCAAGGGTGCCCCTGAGCAGGTATGATGCTTTTCCCTTTACCAACTCGGCAATCAGCACTCAAAGTAATAACTACTAACTCATTCCCTATTTGTACTTCTATGCAGATCTTAACTCTATGCAATTGCAAGGAAGATGTTAAGAGGAAGGTTCATTCTGTGATTGACAAGTTTGCTGAACGTGGACTTCGATCTTTAGGTGTTGCAAGACAGGTCTGCAGTTTAGTGTTTATCTACATCTTGTCACCGTGCTACTCAAACAAGCCTGATCTTATTGTTTCGTTCCTTCAATGAAATGGATGCAGGAAGTACCTGAGAAATCAAAAGATGCTCCAGGGGCACCATGGCAACTTGTTGGTTTGCTGCCCTTGTTCGATCCTCCCAGGCACGACAGTGCTGAAACCATTAGAAGAGCTCTCCACCTTGGTGTTAATGTTAAGATGATTACTGGTATGTCTTTTTTATTCTCATTTTGAAATTTGTTCTTATGCCATTACTTAGGCTTTGCTTGCTGTTTCCTCAATGTCCAGGGGATCAGCTCGCAATTGCTAAGGAAACTGGCAGGAGGCTTGGAATGGGAACAAACATGTACCCCTCTTCTTCATTGCTCGGCCAAGATAAGGATGCTGCCATTGCAGCCCTCCCTGTGGATGAGTTGATTGAAAAGGCTGATGGATTTGCTGGAGTTTTTCCAGGTGAAGTCAGCTGCCTAATGCTGATGCTTCTTTTTTCTTTTTCTTTTTCCAAAATGCACTTGCACTCGTTTTCTTTTCCATATCATGGTAATTTGCAGATTTTTATTTTGTTAATTTTTCCAAATGATAAAGTCACTGTCGCAATAATTTTGTCAGCATGTACAAGATTGCGATCTTTCTTCAGCCTCCCTTCTCCCCTCACTATTTAAGCATGATTTCAATTGACATCCATTATTTTCTTACATGATTATCTTTTAGATTTTTATTACTTTTTATCATGTTTCCTAGTCTTGACTTAACACCTTTTTATTCATTTTTACAGAACATAAATATGAAATTGTTAAGAGGCTACAGGAGAGGAAGCATATATGTGGAATGACTGGAGATGGTGTTAATGACGCCCCTGCTCTGAAGAAAGCAGATATTGGAATTGCTGTTGCTGATGCTACTGATGCTGCCAGAGGCGCTTCCGATATTGTCCTTACTGAACCAGGACTTAGTGTTATTATAAGTGCAGTGCTGACCAGCAGGGCTATATTCCAAAGGATGAAGAACTACACTGTTAGTTACATCTTCTGCTTGTTTTATTGCTGTGTTCACGGTTGTTGAATTTGCAAGTGTCTAACTCACTCTGTTCTGACCGTTCTCTTTTGCAGATATATGCAGTTTCAATTACCATTCGTATTGTGGTAAGTACCAACATGTCCATGAATGTATCTTTCTATTACTAATCTTCTCGAGACATCTGTTTTAATCATGTCCTTCTATCTGTTCTTTCTATGGCAGTTTGGCTTCATGTTTATTGCCCTGATATGGAAGTTTGACTTCGCTCCATTCATGGTTTTGATCATTGCCATCCTAAATGACGGTGAGATCTCTAGTAAACCTCCTCGTAAATTTATATCATTCTCTTTTCACAAATTACCATGAACTGAATTAGCATGAGCACAAGTCTGATATGGTGCATTATCAAACCTCCAGGAACAATCATGACAATATCGAAAGATCGAGTGAAGCCATCTCCACTGCCAGACAGTTGGAAACTTAAAGAGATATTTAGTACTGGTGTTGTGCTTGGAGGTTACTTGGCACTAATGACAGTATTATTCTTCTGGATTATGAAAGACACAGACTTCTTCTCAGTAAGAATATCCTACAATATCATTGCCAGTTTGTGTTTTCCTTTTTTCAGATTTTATATCTTTATATGGTTTTCGTAACACAGGATAAGTTTGGCGTAAGATCACTGAGAGATAGCAAATATGAAATGATGGCGGCCTTGTACTTGCAAGTGAGTATTGTGAGCCAGGCCCTTATTTTCGTCACACGATCCCGCAGCTGGTCTTTTGTTGAACGTCCTGGACTTCTTCTTGTCAGTGCATTTGTAGTCGCTCAGCTGGTAAGGATTCATCCTATCCGCCTATCACTACTTAAAACAACCCTCCCTACCATGCTTAGTTTGTCATGGCCTTCTCTTGTTTGTTGCTTCGGGTTTTTTAAGCAGCGCAATGCACTCTATTTACCTTCTGCTAATGATAATCTTGGGATCCGCAATCTGAATGTCAAATATTTTGCTTATAGTTTGGAAAATGAATCAGATTATTAGTGAAACCTAATACATTACCACTGTATGAATGATAGATTGCGACATTGATAGCAGTCTACGCAAACTGGGGTTTTGCACATATCAAGGGGTGCGGCTGGGGATGGGCTGGAGTTATCTGGCTATTTAGTTTGGTGACATATCTGCCGCTTGATCTTCTCAAATTTGCAATCCGCTATATCCTGAGCGGGAAGGCTTGGGATAATTTCTTGGAGAACAAGGTGTGTTATTTCATTAACAAAATCCCGAGTCCGAGTCTGAGTCTGATTTTCTGCTCATGTTCTTGCTCATTTGCTACCTTCTTTGTAACAGACTGCCTTTACTACAAAGAAAGACTACGGCAAAGAAGAGAGAGAAGCTCAGTGGGCCACAGCTCAGAGGACCCTTCATGGCCTCCAACCCGCTCAGACCAACACTATCTTTTCCGACAAGAGTAGTTACAGGGAGCTTTCTGAGATCGCAGAGCAAGCCAAGCGTAGGGCTGAGATGGCAAGGTAAGCAAGCCATATTCCACAAAGAATTAGGGAGCTAAAATGCTGTTGTCCTTCCATGATCTTTTGCGTATTCATAAATTATGTTTCTTCGCAGGCTGAGGGAGCTGAACACCCTCAAGGGGCATGTGGAATCAGTGGTGAAGCTGAAGGGACTAGACATTGATAGAATTCAACAACATTACACACTTTAAGGAGTTTACAAGTCTCGAAGAGAACAAACTCCTCGGAGAAAAGCCGAAAGCAGCTATATGACGACGAAGGCGACCTCGAGAGAAAATCTTTTTAATCAGACTAGAAAGGCATTCCTCTTGCTATAACTTAGGTACTTTTTTTGTTTGTTATCTACCATTCAAGCCCAGAGGACATGGTTTCTCCTTTAGGAGCTCAATATAATCAGCCATCCATTTCCTCCTCTGCACCAATTTTCTATCACGTTTAATTTTACATGCCCTGCATCAATTTACGTTGCTAATAGAGTTATGCAATCCGAGGCTATTGTTTAAAGTGATACTTCAGAGCTTTCTCTTTCTTTAGACCATCTCACTGTTGCTATTAGTTACGGACGGAATCACTTGTTCCATTAACCAAGTTTCCAAGCTTGGCTTCTAGTGAAAAACTGAGGCGATGAGAATACGAGAGAAGCTTCTGCATCACTCATCAGCATACGATAAACGGTATAGGTTGGGCTTATACCAAAGTTATTAAACCCGGCTTGGTTCATAGTCCAATATAAAGCTCGGGTTAGAAGACTCAGAATGATGCTGTTTCAATTTTTCTTTTATAACATTAAAAATTAAAATAAAAAATCAAACTAGGTTAATTTCAACCTAATTTAATTTGAAACGCGGCTCAAACTAGGTTTTAAGTGGATGGATCACCGGGTTGAAAGGGTTTCCATAAGCAATTGAAAACTCACAAAACAGATCTCTAGTGAGTTCCACTGGCAATTGCACTGTAATGGTAAACGGGCTTTTATGGGGCGGCATGGCTACAGAGTTTGCAGAGGGGAAAACAATGCTAGCTCTTCCTTAGTTTTCAACAAGGGCCAAGAGCTAGCCACTTAGCAATTCAAGAAGATGGAATTTTATGCACTTGCTAGCAACGTGAAGCTGCTGCTGCTGCCTCACCACGGTTACAAACAAAGAAAAAAAAAATTACTCGAAAATTAATAGGATATTGGTCAAGGAAGGAGCTTCACGACTTTCGTTTATGGTGGACACGTTACCCATCTCACGAGTCATCAAGTGAACCGTGAAATTTCTTTTTGATGGGCTGGTAACTTGAGATCAATTGAACTCTTTCTCGGAGTCGATTTTTGATGTGTCATCCAAGGAAGCGGGGACGTGCAAGAACAAATTGATGTGTATTTGTTTCTGGCTTGAAGTACAGATGAATATATTAGCAGAAAAATATAGGCAATGCATCGTTAAATTATTCATTCAAGATCATTCAGTATGATTCAAATTAAATAAAAAAAATGAATTGAGTAAGTTGTTAATTTTAAACAGAACTGAAATGAATGAAAGAACCGATAGATTTGCCTCAATTCAATTCCAAATTTCTTAAATCCGAATAAATCCATTTTAAAATAAGACATTTAATTAAATTATTTTCAACGGGCTTTAATTTAATAAATCTTTAACTCTAACAGGTCTTCAGTCTAAAATGGTTTTTTTTTAGTTTGATTTCGGTCATTTTTCTTGGATTTTAAAATCTGAAACCAAACCGAAATCATTTTTTGTTTTTTCTAAAGCTCACCCTTACAGTTTAGCTAATACTTGTTCACATTTCACATTGGGAACTCATCATCTCAAGAAACAGTTTACGAGTTGCTTCGGCACCATTATGATATGATTGTACAGATCAGAAGTTTTCTGCCAGAAAACTAAAGCACTAACTGGGATTCCTGTCCTCAAAAATTTCCTGAGTGACTTGTCGCAGCCTCAATACGATCTCTGCATATGCTGCAATGGATAATAAGCAGGAACAAATCAGAACAAACAGAAAACCAACAGGAGAGACTGTCAAAATGAAACGCGGTGGTAAAGTAAGGAACATCAACACAGGAAATGCACGAGTTCTTTGAAGGCAACATGATAAAGTAAGGAACAGCAACGCAGGAAATGCACAAGAGCTTTTAATGCAACATGAACCTAAAACAATCAGAAAACTGATGGCAGAAATGGCGTCAATGAGACCCAAAATTATCTCGGTGGAAAAAAGATTAGGTAAGCATATAAACCAGCACCAGCCAGACTACAATGTATTCCCCATATACCTAGTTTATATTCAAACAGCAAAGATCATCCCATCTCTTGACTTATGAAAGCTGAAAGCAGGAAGTCCAGGGAAGTTCTTAAAACGAATCACCATCAAACAAACATGCATTTGATGGCAAACAATGTCCCAAAGAGCCAACAGAATTTAAGTCAGAGGAAACAAATAAGGTGAGCATCTAAACGGGCACCAGCCTGACCAAACATCCAATTTTAGCAAGAAACAGCATTTACCACAATCTCATTCCCCGTAAGCAAGCAGGGATGATATTGTCAAATGAAAAACTAATAATCAGGGAAAAATATGTCAAGTATCAAGACAAGCAAGTCAAGCTCATTCACAAAATCATGCAATTAACCAGTCAAAAGAAAGAAAGAAAACACAGTAGAGAAAGAATGAACCACATATTTGCTTCTGTTTATGGATGTTCTTCTTGGTCAATTCAGACGACTAAGAGGATAAAAGACAACTGAAAAAATAAGTGTAAGCCTTGACTTTCAATTTGAAAATAGAAAGCTCAACATTTTAGGGTAAAAATCACCTTCTGGCAAGCTCATACTTTTCAAGGCATCCTCTGCGTAAGATAGACGACTTGGACTAGGGTGAGCACCCATTACTTCACTTTTCTTAAACTGATCAATTGGCCATGCAATGACTCTGACCCGAGTTGGAAGTACAGAGACAAGGTCTGCATATCTAAGACTGACAATTACCTTGCTGCAACAAGAAAAAGGCATAGTAAAACATCAGAACATGCAGATGCATATCCAACATGTGTAGTACAGGATTCATCCTTGATGCTATAGAAACTGAAAAAAGTGATCATGCATTGATTATGCTACAGTTCCCATTTAGCAACAAAGGGATTGCAAAATATTTCCAAGGTTAGTGAAGTTAAAGATCACCACATGAAAGAAAGAGTCGATGAATCTTGGGTATGCTACAGTATAATGTAGATTAATTTGGTAAAAAGAAAGATGAGGAATTAGATAATCTCAAGAAATTATGTAAGCAAACCACCATAGATAAAGTACAAAAAAGCATTCAATAGCATGCAACAGTGAAAAAGTACTCACCAAGGAAAATCATCCAGTACAAATTCTATTATGTGGTAGGGTAGGCTATGATACAGCTCTCCTATTTGATTTCCATACAACTCCTTAATAAGTCGAACCTGCACCACAATAGGAAAGAAAGTGAGTTAGGAGTAATTATATCTTTTGTTTGATCAAAAGTACGTATAATATAAAGATTAGCTGCAACTTGTCAATGTGATATACTTGCTAAATTGAAAAACCAGGAGAAGAATACATTACATCATGAAACAGAAATTTACCAGGAATTATATGTTTGTTCAAGAGAGGAAAAAAAGAAGAAGGAATGTATACGCTATGTTGTCATCTCAGATAAAAAACGCTAGAGACCAAATCCCACCAACAGGGTGTGGACAGGGACAGTTGAAAAAGGAGTACGCTCACTTGTGGGGATTGAGTAATTAAGAAGGAAAAGACCAAGAAAATAGAATCTCCACAGTATTGTAAGATGTTCAATCTGTTATTTCACCCTTAATACCTGACAAACATCTGCAAACACCCACACATGCACACACAATAGATGGAATGAAAATTACTATACAATCATCTAGCACATATAAATTCCTAACAAAGAAGATCGAGAAAGATCTAAGAGCAAAACTGGAAATAAGAAGCTGCACGTAATGACTGAAAAATATCTGCCTTCAATAATAAGACTTCATCTAACAATAGAGTCCAGCGGGGTTACTCTTCAGATACAAGCTTAAGCATAAAAATTGCTACTGAGGGAACGCCAACAAATAAAATCTTGTGTGGGTCCCCCTTTATCTTAACTATAACAAAGTTGATAAATTTTCATCTAAAGTATTCACCAGAATAGTTGAGTCAATGATAGTTCCCATAGAAACCAGGCAAAAAGGGTGAAGCTGACTTAAGCTGATCTGTGCAAATTGAACAATGAAAATTCACTAGATGCAGCAGGACAATCTCTTGTAGGTAAACAAGGATCAGTATGTCAGCAAAGCTAGCTCAAACAGAAACACATAAATACTAAGATCATGTAAGCTGGACTATACCTGTTCCTTTCTATCCACATAAGCTTGCAGAAGTTCTCCAATGTAATCTATAAATCTCTGAAAACAAGAGAAGAGAAGCAAAATTGAGAACGGGTAATATTCAAGGAATATAAACCCAAAAAGATGTCTCTGGCAACTAACCTTACCATCGCATTAGATGAAAGAAGATCATTTTCTGCTTCACGTAGCGGCAGGAAGAAAGGGATTGTGTGTTCAAGGACAGTCATCTTTTCAAGAAATGACTTGCTCTCAAGCACCAAATGGTACAGCTCACAAGGGTCTCCTACAAGGAAGAAGGGGAAAGGAAGAAACAAATGAACCAGCTTTAAGTTGCATCAACTGACATGCAATCTCCTCTGAGAGAATTAAGCAGTACAAGAAGATCACAGTAATTTTTGTATGGATAAACAGGATATTTTTTAATATAAAAATGAAACGGCCACCAACCCCATAAGTGCAGTCGTGGAAAACCATGAACATTGGAGAAATTGTTGTTGGATGCAAAATGAGATGACAACATAACCAGAGTGATCATATTAGAATAAAGCACAAGAAAATTTGCACCGGACCTGCAAAAGTTGTCTCATATTGAATGCCAATTCTTGCCCCCTCCAGACAACAAATAACCTGTTTGTATTAAGAAAAAAGCTATTGATTGATAAATGACTAACCAATGCAATAAATTTCATCAAAACCTACATACTAAGCACATTCCATGCATCGTATCCTTGTTAGTAGAAAATGTTACCTTATTCCCAACTCTATATGTAATTTTTTCCTCAACATGATGATTTGGTATCACATCTGTCTCCGCTAGCATTGCCTTTCTATCAACCTCCATGTGAACCTGATGAAAAGGGCACGCTTAAAACATTAAAAATTTGATCACGCCCATCTGCAAACATATAACTTTACAATGATACAAACCGCACAAACAAATCCATCAAGATGGAGTACTAACAAACAAGTATTCCTCATGGAATTATCCATTATATAGAGCATAAAGACCCAAACTTTAAGATGTAAACTGTTCCGGCCATCTATTTTAACAATGACTTGTGATCAGAACCACAGAATTCAACCACCTCCGACAAAGTACTGAAAATACAGTGTTTACCCTCTCTCTTATCGTAGCTAACAGTCCGTCATTCCATTCTTCACCATCTAAATAAACCTCTGCAAGAATTCAAAAGAAAAACACATTTTTTTCCAATCAAATCACTCATAAATAAACTGTTAATCACTGCATTATCTCGAAAAGAAAATACCTTCCGTTTGAGATGCTTTTGCAGCTTCAAATTCTTTCTGTAACCGCTCGAATATCATCTTATCAGAATCCCTGTCAAAAACCAGCAACAACAAAAAAACCTGAATCCTCAAAACCCAGTAACATTTTCATTAATCAAACAACCATCAATACAATTCTCACCTAGACAGCCTCTCTGCCAATGCCGTATGTCTCTTAATTACATTCGAAACTAATTAATAAAAAAAAGGACACAACTTTCAGTTTCTTGCAAAACAACCTTAATTTAATAAAAAAAAATCATTTTTCTTACATCTAGCACGTGCAGTTTCTAACCGGTCATTATCATCATCTTCGTGCATAAAGTTCTGTTTTTTTCACACAAAAAATTAAAATTACAATCACAAAAAAAAACATAAAAATTGAAAAAAAAGAAGAGCTTTGAATGATAATTAATAAGAAATTACCACCTCTCCCATTGATGATGTAAAAGGGTTCTTCTTATGCCTCTTTTTTAGGGTTTCTTCTTCAAAATCGCTGACCTCCATCTGATTTGATTTTTTCTGAGAGAGAGAGGAGTCACAAATTTTAAAATTTAGGGTTCTAATATCCGGGCACGAATCGAATTGCAGAGCCCGACCCGCACCCGTTTTATTATTGTTTTGAGAAGAAAACACTCCACATGGACTCGTTATGATATTTCTTGTGGTAAAGTACATTTCAGGTCTTATATGTTTTCGATATTTTCACTTAGATCCTTTTTAGAGATATTAACCATGCCGGCGGCTTCTTTTATTTTCTTTTTGTTCAAGAAATACTTCATTATAAGTTTTTTGTATTTATTTATATATACAATAGTGTTTACAAAATAATTTTCATGAACCTATTTGTTGATCTAGTTTATAATAATTTAAGTTTAATCAGTTATGGATTAGAATTCTATGTAAATAATATTTTAAATGAAAAAGAATGTGTATAAAATGATAAATTTATAAATATTAGGTTTATGAAATTATATATATTGGTTAAGTTTAGATTGGATTTTGAATTAGGTTTAATAATATCAATATGCTTTTCAATATTCATCAAATAATTTTTTTGAATAAATGATATAAAATGGTAACTATCTACAATTTATTTATTTTTTTATCATTTTGACTTAAATTAAATTTATTGAATTAATATATATATATATATATATATATATATTTGTTGAATAAAACATTATTCAATATGTATTTTTATAAAAATAAACAGACAGAAGGTTACATCAAAAGATCTCTCTTTTCTCAACAAAAAAGAATCCAATTTTGTAGATTGAAAAATATTTTCAAAGTCAAGAATTTCCTTTTAATTTCAATTTCAATTTTTTCTTTTTATTCTCAGGAATGAAATTGCTAAAATTATTAAAATTATGGACTGAATCAGAATAGCAGGAAAACATAGCAGCCAGAATGCAATATGCCAAACTTACTCATTTCTTAAAATTTTAATGACAAAGTAGTTCCACATGTCAAAATATAACTCAACAAGCCACGCCACATCCGGGGCCCGCATTCAGGACCATAACAGTTGATCTTTGAATTAAGGACTAAGAATCACATCTGGTCCCTGTACATTTACATTTATTCAAATCAAGTATGAAGCTCTCGTTTCATGCTAATAAGATTCTTAATTAATTTCCCATATGGATCCTATTTTTCATTATTTAATTTAATATAATCTCTCAAATGGCATTTAATTAGAAATGAAGGAGCTTTTTGGACTTAACAAAGAGTACAGGGATTGAAGAGAGAAAATTTAGGGACTATAAGTGAGTTTTAACCGCCATCTCTGCGCTCTCTATTGCAATTTCCCTGCAAAACCCAAGGATCCTTCATCCCAGTTTCAGTTTCACAAAAGAAAATCACAGAGAGAGAGGGAGGGAGGGAGGGAGAGGGACAGATAAGATGGGGTGGATAGCAGAGAACGTAGAGTCAATCAAATCCATGAAGATCAGAGACACTCTCTCTCAATTGATCACTCTTGGTTCCTTTTCTTTAAAAATATTTTCTTATTTTACTCGCTACTGATGTTTCTCCTTTCTTTTTTATTGATTTCTTGATTTTTTTGGTTTTGCAGGGATGATAGTGTCGATGGCTTTAATAATATGGAAAGCCTTGATGTGTTTAACTGGTAGCGAATCTCCTGTTGTTGTTGTTCTTTCTGGTAGCATGGAACCTGCTTTCAAACGAGTTAAGAATCCCATGTTTTTTTTTTTGGTTCGCATGCGATATGCATATGGGCAACATGTGGTTTTTCTTACGTTGTCCTGTCTTGGCTTGCAGGGAGACATTTTGTTCTTGCATATGAGCGAGGCCCCATTTCGAGCGGGAGAGATTGTTGTGTACAATGTAGAAGTATGTTCTTTCTTTAATTTGTTTGTTTTTCTTTTAATTGATTTGGTGATTATTGAGTTTCTTTGCTCTTCTATTTGATTTTGTTTTGTTATGAGTTGATGATTTTAGTGTTTAGTTTTAGCACATCTTTCGGTTGAATGCTCAGGAAAATGACGGATAAACTATAGGGTGCTATTGCTTCCTAGTTCCCAGTCATAAGAATGCGGGGCCCACTGTTCCTCCATGTGGGACCCGCTTTAACGTGTAACGAGGAGCAGTGCTAGTGGAGTGCTTGATAGTTCTTCAAAAGGAACAATGAGGGTGATTTGTTGAATATTGTTTCAACACACTTTAGCAGTCTAAAGCCCTGCTGTAGGAACTTTAGTGAGCATTTGATTTAGAAAGAAGCGTGTGAGTTGATTCTTTAATAAGATGATTTAGCTTTTTATTTACCTTAAAGTAGAGAAGTAATTCTTTATAAATTAGATTGTGATATGCTTATTAATAAAGGTGGACATTGTCCGTGACAAAGTTCTCTTCTGCTTCGATTATATCCCAAATTTTATCCTTTCTTCATTCCAGTGTACTTGTATTGAACATCATGGTCTCTTTTCTACTCCTGTGAACTGATATATCTTCAATGCATTGTTCAGGGGGAGCCAATTCCAATTGTCCATCGAGTAGTTGAGGTAACCGTATATGTCCATGACGAAGTATGCTTGCTAGTGTTTGTTGTTTATTGTAGATTATGATGGGCATTTCGCACAGGTTTGTTGAAAGCGTTATAGACTGCGATTATGCTGACTATTTAGTTCCAAACTGAGAATGTCAATTAGTGACCATATAGAGAGGAAACTACCATCAGGAAATACGAGCTTTCATCCATTCACTCTTGTTTATTTTAATGTCAGTTATAATATATTAATGTTTCTCACTAGGACGCATGCCAATTGAGTGACAGAATAAAGGCCTTCGGCTCATCTTGACCTCACTATCATTTCTTATGGAATTTCTATTTGTATCTGCTAGTTCCATATCCACCCACCCACAGAGTGAGTTTGGTCAATCGAATAAGATCACGAAAGCTAACCATTCAATTGGTTTCATCGCAGCATGCATCTTATCAATAGCAGAATGAAAAAAAGTACTAATTGTTTTGATCAAGAAATAGGAGGTTGTATCCCACAAAATAGTGACATGCCAGATTTAAATCCACCATTCACTCTAGTTTCTTATTTCTAGAAGTTGCTACAACTTTTCTTAGCTGAAAATTTCTGTAACTGTTGATTTTCTTTCCTTTGTGGGGGAGAGGAAGGCAGATCAGCAAGCAGTGGCAAAAGTCTTGCATGATACTATCTAATTATGACAATAAAGTTGCATAATGTACATTTGATTGTGCTTTGGCAGGTTCATGAACAGGAAAATACTGGAAAGGTTGATATCCTTACTAAAGGTAACACAATCTGTGACTCAAGTTGTTAAATTTCTTTGAGTTCATATCTGCTTATTTTATTTAATCCTCTTCTACACTCAAGAATAAACTTGTTTTTATACATGTGCCACGTTCCTTCTCATTTGTGTTCTAAATACGAGGATCAATTAAAGTGAAGGGTAATTAATAGACAACCTTTCAGCATGTTAAGTCATAGCGTAAGGGATACAAGTGAAATGGTCTGAAAAAAATGTTTGAGAACTTCTGCCTGTAGTTCTTTCAATAACCAGGAGACTGATACTCAATTTGTGATTGGATAATTTTATCAGGAGATGCTAATCATGCGGATGACAGGGGTTTGTATGCCTATGGTCAGTATTGGTTGAAGCCACAACAAATTATGGGGAGAGCTGTTGGGTAAGTCAGTTATGCATCTATTTACATATATTTTGTTTCCAGCATGAAACTGTAATTTATGCGGGAGATCGCGATCAATTTGAAAGGTGCAAAAGAGTGGTGTTTGAAATTGGTGCTTGCATATACTGTCATCTGCTGATTTTATCTAATACTCGTTTGATCGAATAATTAGCTTGGGTTAACTGATGATGAAATAATCCAGGCTAGTTAACATGCCAATACAAATGAATGATTTACCAACTCATATGGGCATAAGAAACACAAACATTCTGTCTTGTAGTTTTCTTCTTAAACACTTCCTGAAATATAAATCCTCTTCATTTATGTGAAACTGAATTATATATCCTCTTCTGCAGGTTCGTGCCTTACGCCGGTTGGGTTACAATCGTGATGACTGAGAAACCTATTATCAAGGTAGTGTCTAGGGTTTGCACCAACACAGATCTTTCCTTTTTTGAGTAAAAAATGCCAGAGAACCTCATTTCCCTAGCTTATGACAAACAATTGAAAAATGAAATTCTCCACAGAAATTATAAATCAATCAACTTGAAAAGTTAAGTTTTTGCATTCTACGCTTTCATGAGTTGAGTTTTTCTGGAGGCACTCATTTCCCTAGTTTTGCATATTGCATATAATGTTTAACTTGGTGTTGGTTTTTCTTGCAGTACATGCTTATAGGCGCTCTAGGTCTTCTGGTTATAACCTCGAAGGATTAAGTAATCAAGCTTTCAAGACATGACTGATGCCATTTATATTCTCTCTCTTTGAAACAGAAGCAATGAAATTAGCTGTGCTCAATACCAACAGAATTTTGTAAGATCTGAGGACCACATATCCTGTTCAGTAAACTTCAGATTAAGCAGGTGAAACATATTTATTGTGTCACTCTGAAAATCTATTGCGCGATGCTTTGAAAGAATTATTTCATTCAGGAGCTGTGCTGTTTTCAGAACAATTTTTATCATGATTTAAACACATATAATGCTGTTAGGAACATCATTCCACAGTCAAATGTTTTACGTCACAAGATTGAATACCTTTTCTTATGAAAAGTCGGTGTCGTTAGTGCTATCTTGTGTTTCATATGAGGTTCACTCTTCCATAGGTGGAAGCTGTCTGAACAGGAGCCACGTTGCTGTCTAGCTGACGAAGTTACTGTCAGATAACAACTGTCCTCAGACCCTCGCCCCCACATAATTAACCATATTAGAAACTTGGAAAAACCTTGCATCAATATTTCCTTCCATGGATGAAGGTGAGACTATTGTGAGTTCGCTCCTGTTCAAATTCAAAGAAAGGGTTCCGAAGTGCTTTGATTTCAACAAGCACTCCCCGACATCTATGATCTAACCAAGAATATAAAACACAAAAACAAACAGAGAGAGAGAGAGAGAGAGGAAAAGAAACTATTTATTACACTAACTTAGCAGCAAAAGGAGCGATCAAGCTAGCTAACACTCTCAAAGCCAAGAAAAAGGTTCCGAAGTGCTTTGATTTCAACAAGCATTCCACGACATCTATGATCTAATTTACTAAAAGTTTTTCAACTTGTTTTCCAAAACCACTATCCGAAGAATTCAACCGTTAGATTTGTGAAAAGCATGAGCTTAGACATGCACGCACGAGCTAGATAATTATTCACGCAACGTTGCAAGTTGCTGCTCTGATCAATTTATTTTCAACGTAAAAAAGAAAAAAAAAAGGTGTTGATTAGCATGTTGGTTATTAGAAAAAAAATAATATAAGTGGTATAATGTGATTTGGTTAACTTGATAGATAATAAATAAATAAATAATAAAAATATATTTTGAAAAAAAATTAAGACAATATTTTTTTATAAAATATTAAAATAATATATTTAGACTAATTTAAGTTAATTTGTCAAAATCTTAATGCAAGTCATGAAAATTTTATAATTCTTATAAAAAAGAAATGAAAAATAACTCAAGTTAACATGTCTTATCCATAAAACTTGCAACACGAGTTATAAAACTAGATAATTTAATAAAAAATAAATTAAAATAAATTATTAAGCCCAATTCTTAATAAATTTAATATTAAAGAATGAAATTAAAAAAATCTAAAATTAAAAAACTAAAAAAAGTCTTTATAATTTTGGAGGACTAAAATGAAAAATATCTTATTTTTTAGAAATAAAATGAAAAAAAATCATGACATATCACTATCCATTGTTATAGTAAAAGGCTAAAGCCTTTTAGATCCTATTTACTTTTGCGTTTCAAAAATATTTTAAAAAATTAATTTATTTAATTTTTTATAGTAGATTAATATTTTTTTGGTGTTTTTAGATTATTTTAATATTCTAATATCAAAAATAATTTTTTAAAAAATAAAAAGTATTATTTTAATATATTTCAATAAAAAGTATCTCTCATGGGAAGTAGCATAAAATTCTCAATGAATACTTGACAGAAAATTAATTAATAGTAAGGATGAAATAAGGATGTTTTTGGCTTTCAAGGTAGGTCAGAAGAGCTTCTTTTCTCCTATGTTTAGTGTTGTGTTTCAAAGGTAGTTAGTAGTTACGAGGTAAGATTTTACACCAATGCTAAGTCTTAAAGGAGGATAAAACGCCACCGCATTTGTATTAAATAGTTTGTTTATCCACAAACCTCAATTGACTTCAAACAGGAGGTCATCCATTTTGAGCTCCAAGAAGGCAAATATTCCTCGAGTGGGAGGTGGAGCCATTTGCCCTGGCCAAAAACTATGTGATGAATCTTCTCATTTTCCTAATAGTACTTGCCGACCAATAACTCACAAGTATAAAATCTTCAAATACAACATAATTATGAGTTCCTATACTTTAGTTATTATAAACTCTAATTTTGGTTATCGGGGTCACCACATTATGAATTTCAAAGACTTTCGTGTTTAGTTTTATAACCAATTTAATTGTTCAAAATTAATATTCTTTAATTAGAAAATATGGAGTATTTTTGAAAAATTTGGTTGAAAACAAGTGGGTTTTAATCTCAAACTCAAGTCAAAATAAGACAATTAATTTCTCTCTCTCTTTTATAAACATATATCATATATCATGCTTAAATTCAATTGAATAAATATTTAATTTTATTGCATAAAATCTATTTTAATTGTGTCAATATTAAATTTTATTTGATCTAATTTGTTAATATATTAATTTTTAATTTAATTTTTAAATTAAATAGCCGTAATTTAACTCTATTAATCTGCATGTTTAATTAAAATTTAATTTGCATTATTTTTTTTTTAAATAATAATGCTTTAGGTTTGTATTTTAAAATTAAAATATATAAAATCAGGATTAATAATTATGCTAATGGTTAAAAAATAGCATGTTAAAGTAGAAAGCATAAATGATAGTTGAATTTAAATTCACAAAATAAATTAAAAAGGATCAAAATTTAAAAAAATGAATTAAACACGTTTGTACTTTAAAAAAAAAAAAAAAACACAAGGCGAGACCTAGCAAGAAAGAAGCAACCGAAGAGAGAGAAAGAAACACAGAGCGAAACCAAGAAAATAAAACACAAAAACAAAGAGTGAGAGAGAGAGAGAGAGAAAAAGAAACTATTTATTACACTAAATTAGCAGCAAAAAGGAGCGATCAAGCTAGCTAACACTCTCACAGCCAAGATAACCTCTCTTTCTTTGGCTTTTTTTTCAAATCAACAACACAGAAAAAACTACATTGAAAACCCAAGAAAACAAGCCAAGAATCAAGCTCTCACTCTCCAATTTTGGTGAAGTTAATCAAAGGTTAGTTTTTTAAATATTTACTTAATTAATCTTTAAAACCCATTAACTTTACACTCTTAAAGTTTGCCTTTTGCACTTCATTGTTGTTTTGGTGTCAATTTTTTAAACGGGCTCTGTTTAGTTTCTTTTACTGATCTCTGTTTATTAAGTTAAATTAGTCAAAATTTGAACTTGTTAGCTTGTGAATTGTGTGAAATAATGTGAAAACTGAAATGGGTTTTTGTTATTTTGAATGGTGCAGTGGTGAAAGAAGAGAAAGGAGTTTGTTGTGGGTATAAAGTTTGGTGATTTGAAGTTAGGGTTTTGATTTATTGTGTGTTTGAATGAATTGGTTTTGGTTCTGGGTGATTTGGATTGAGATTTTTTTAGTGGTTTGATCTCTTAGGGTTTTGGATTTTGTAAAGATGAGATTTGGGTTTGCATTGTATGGGTTGTTGGCGGGCGACTTTTGGGTTGTCTGGAAACAGAAATAGCTGTTTTCCAGGTTGAGAATCTTGGGTTTTTGTGATTTTGGTGAATGGTGGTGTTTGGGACTGGATAAGCAGAGGTTGACTGTTGATTTGCGTTTAATTTGATATGTGGGTGTGTGAATTTTGTTATCAGGGAGGTGAAAATAACGGTAATTGAGTGTGCGATTGAGGATTTTGGGGTTTTGTGGTTCTGTTTTTGGATGGTGTATGAATCTGTTTCATGAGAAATGCTACCTCATCAGAGCTCCAGAGTTGATTTGGTTGAATTGAGAACTCAGATAGTGAAGAAGATTGGAGTTGAGGGGTCAAAGAAGTATTTTTACTATCTGAATCGATTTTTGAGTCAGAAGCTGAGTAAGAGTGAGTTTGATAAGTCATGTTTTCGCTTGCTTGGAAGGGAGAATCTGCCACTGCACAATAATCTTATACGCTCGATATTGAAGAATGCCTCTCAGGCGAAGACGCCACCACCAATTTATGAGGCGGGTCCCACAAAATCTCTGCTTCAAGCTCCAAACAGTTCTCCAGTTAGAGAAGATGGGCATGAACAAAGTGGGTCCCTTATTCCAAATCAAAACACACCCATTTGGTCTAATGGAGTTTTACCAGTGTCTCCAAGAAAGATTAGATCAGTGATACGTGATCGGAAGCAGAGAGATAGACCGAGCCCACTTGGGCCCAATGGGAAAGTCGAATGTATCTCACATCAATCAATTGCTACAGAAGATAGTGGAAGTAAGTTTGTTGTGGAGAATGGGGAATCGGCTCCTTGTGATTTTCAGAGACCAGTGCAGCATCTTCAAACAGTTGCTGAGCAATCCGAGAATGAAAGGGAGGGGTCAGCTCAACGGCCAATTGAAGGATCAAGGATACAGAGCAAAGACCAGACAGCTTTTGTGGAAGATGGAGAAGAGGTGGAGCAAGTAAACCGCTTGAACTTTTCTAGAAGTCCCCTACTTGCACCATTAGGGATTCCATTTTGTTCAGCTAGTGTGGGTGGGGCCCGCAAAACTATGCCAGTTGCAAGCAGTGGTGATTTTGTTCGCTATTATGACATTGGTGAATTGTCTGATTCAGAGATGCTGAGGAAACGCATGGAGCAGATTGCAGCTGCTCAAGGCCTTGGAGGGGTTACTATGGAATGTGCAAACAGGTTGAATAATATGTTAGATTTGTACTTGAAGAGGTTGATCAAGTCATGTGTTGAGTTAGTAGGAGCACGGTCTCTGCATGATCCGAGAAAGCACCCTGTTCACAAGCAGCAGGCACAGAAAGTTATCAATCGCACGTGGGCGAGTAATCACGTGCATATGCAGAGTAGCAGTGGTCCTGTAGAGGGTATGCAGGAACAGAGACAGCATAGGTCAATATCCATGCTTGATTTCAAAGTTGCCATGGAGCTAAATCCACAGCAACTTGGTGAAGATTGGCCATTGCAGCTGGAGAAAATATGTATGCATTCATTCGAGGATTGAAACATACCTGTGAAGATTTGTTATCCCAAAGCTATAATTGGGTCAGGCTGTCCTGGTTCCAAGGCATTGACAATTGTTTAAATTGGAAGTTGTTGATGCACCCAGTTCTGTTTCTTGTTGCCAGGATGAACCAGATGGCTCCCCTTCTGTTGAAGCTCAGCCCCTGCAAGATGGAAATTGTGGGTTGAGCATCCAGATGTCTGTACTCTCCTGCTGCAGATCCTGTATGAATCAGGAAATTATTTTGCAGCAACCAAGCCAGGGCAAGTTTCCAATAGAATGCCCACAGTTGGTTGCACTGTTGTACGATAAGCATCCGTGTTGGCTGTCTGCTGCCATCGCTACAGATCTGAAGCTCTTCTGTATAATTTACAGCCAACAAAGAGGAAGTCTTAGACAGTTTTGCAGGGTACTCTTGTGTAGCTTGTTGAAAGGTAAACCACTGGTGTCAAGAGCTGTAGTGTTGCTCTTTGTATTTTAAAATCTGAAACGATTGGAATTCCAATATTAATAACAAATTGATATCCTTCTACTTGTCTTTGATGCTATGTTTCAATTTTCAAGTGACTGGGCCCTGAAAACATCCCTGCTGAAGCCTTATTCTGCTGCTCGTGTTTCGCTTCAAGATTGTGGGTTTTCCACGCCTACCTTAGCATGAGTGTGTTTGTACATGTGAATCGCAGAATCTGGCAAATCTTACATGGACTTCTGGCACAACTTAGTTATATTCAAATCATGGGGAGTGATAAGCGAAGTATGTAATCTATACACTTCCGAGTTTTGATGGGAAAAGGGCAAAATCTGGGGCAGAAACCAGGGAATTTCATATCGTAGTGATACATAATTGGCCTCCTGCAAAGCTTGGAAACAAAGTACTTGACTGATAATAAGCAAGAAATAATGTCTTTCTGCTTATTATCCTCTTCCGGGAAAAGAACTTTATTCATAGCAGTACTCTTTTATCCCATTCGATCGAAACTTAGCTATCCAGCATGCACGTGAACTTTAAAGGATCAGCAGCAGGTAAAAATTGCAAGAGATATCTGAACACCCATACAAGACTCGCCACCATGCTAAAATTCCAGCACAGGTGAAGCCATTCTAATACTCCCTTTTCTATCATCGAGCACTCTTTGTGCATAATACAGAGACTCTCACTGTCAGTAAAATTGTTTTGCACTGTCCTGTGAAAGGCAGGTCTTGAATTTGCAAAATGTTTTTCATATTTCCCACAAGCTCTTCTAAAGGCGGTGCACTATTTGCTGGAATGCTGTTTGTAGCTTGGTCTGTAGATGAAATATATATTTTCTTAGAGCTTCGGTTTTTTACTTACCAGATTTGAGAACTGTTTTTATCCCAATCTTGTTTGAGCCGGTGACTGAGTTTCCTATAATCCGTTAGGCTACTGTCATGTAAATGTAATAAGATAAAAGGTAAAAAAATAAGATAAAATAAAAAATAAAACATACAATAATTTATATGATTCACCCAATCTTTACTATTTCATGGGTAAGTAGAGAAAGATTTTACCAAGTAATATGAGAATCACAACCTCTTTACTAATAAAAGAACAACTAAAATTTTTCTATTACTAAGAAAAAACACCTCACTTACTTTCTTTAAAAATACCTCATAATTTTATGGAATTACTTTCTTTTTTTACTCTCCTTTTCTTCTCTCTTGTTTCTCTCTTATGGTATACATTTTAAACTTGGATGGATTGCATATTTATATGCAAGAGTGAGGGGATAAATATAATAAATCATGACATCAATTATGCCACAGATTATGCCAATAACTCATCTCCACTTATACTCCACCAATTATGCCAACAACTCATCTCCCACTTATATTTGTCTAATAATTCATCTTCCACCAATTAGGTGGATTTAATTAAGTGGCTTTACATTCTTCCACTTGAAGACTTTGATGTTTTAATCAAATCTTCACACTTAATCATCTGTTATTCCTTTATCCTTTCTATATTTGTCATCTTCATGCTACTTATATTTCTCCCAGGCCATAAGAGGATCTGCACCATATATACTTATCAGTGTTGACTAATTTGGTCAAAGCATCTATTGGGTTTTTCTTTGTGTGAATCCTCTAAAAATCCACACTTCCATGTTCCACCACTTCACGAACAAAGTGATAATAAACATTTATATGTTTTGTTCTTGAATGAAATGTTGGATTCCTTATAATATGCAAGGCACTTTGACTATCACAATACAAAAGAATCTTATCTTATTTGTACCCGAGCTCCTCCATAAGTTTCTTCATCCATATTGCTTCTTTACAAGCTTGTGTAGCTGCCATATATTCAGCTTATGTTGTGGATAACGCTACAACAATTTGAAGTTTAGAGACCCAGCTCATAGCTCCTTCTACAATTACGAACATATATTTTGTAGTGGATTTTCTTTTCTCAAGGTCATTAGCAAAATCTGAATCAATATAAACTCTAACAGTAAATTTTGATCCTCCATAACATAATACGGCATCTAAGGTACCTTGATGTATCTTAAGATCCTCTTAATAGTATTCTAATGCTCTCTACTAGGATTTTCCATGTATCGACTAGCTACTCTGATTGCTTGTGCAATATCTAGTCTTGTACTTATCATGGCAAACATTAAACTTCTCACTGTTGATGCATACGGTACTCGAGACATCTCCATCCTCTTTACTTCATCGCTAAGAGATATACTTAAAGATAATTTGAAGTTAATAGAAAGTGGGGTGGAAATTGGCTTACAATCTTGCATGTTAAAGCTTAACAAGATTTTCTTTAAATAATTCTTCTGAGAAAGCCAAATCTTCCTTTTACTTTTATCTTGGTGAATTTGCACCTCTAGAATCTTATTTGTCAGTCCCAAGTCCTTCATATCAAACTCCCTAACCAATTGTGCTTTTAATTCTTGGACTCGATGTTTGTTGGGGTTTATTACCAATATATCATCCACGTACAACAACAAAATGATGTTTATTACCAATATGTCATCCACGTACAACAACAGAATGATGAAATCATCATTTTCTTCAAACCTCTTGTATATGTATAATGGTCTAAACTAAGTTTGTTGTACTCAAGTCTAATTATGAAGGAATTAAATCTCTTGTACTAATACCTCGACACTTGTTTGAGATCGTATAGAGATTTGTTCAACCTGCAAACCAAGTTCTCCTTGCCTGTTTAAGCAAAACCCTCTAGTTAAAGCATATAAATTTCTTCTTTAAGTTTCTTATGAAGAAATGCAATTTTCACATCTAACTACTCTAAGTGAAGATCAAATATAGCACACATTGCTGAGACTACTCTGATTGTAGTAAGTCATACCACCGGGAAAATATCTCATTGAAGTCTTTTCTTCTTTCTGAGCATATCCTTTCACCACCAATCTTGCATGATACCTCTCAATTTAGTCATTGCTATATGCTTTATCTTATAAACCTATTTGTTGCCAATGACCTTTCTTCCTTGTGGTAGCGGAACAAGATCCCAAGTGTTATTTTTGTGTACAGATTCAATTTCCTTTTGCACTGCTGTCATCCATATAGATACATCTATGTTTTTGATAGCCTCGTGGAAAATTGATGGTTCTCAGTAATATATTTTGAGTGCCAACCCGGTGGTCTTCTTTCACGAGTTGACCGTTGAACTTTATAATTTTCAGACTATTTGTTTTTATTCTTCATGCTCTGGTACAACTTTAGAAGAAGTATGATTTTGAGTGTTTTCCATCTAGACAACTGTAGTCTCCTCTAAAATGCTATTATGTTCTTTCATTTGCATTTTATTTTCTGCAAATATGACATCTCTGCTAATGACTACCTTGTAGGTAGTAAGATCCCACAAGCAATACCCCTTTACTCCATCAGCAAATCCCAATAATACATATTTTCTGGATTTTGAATCTAGTTTGCTGACTTCTTGAGTAGTGTACATCACGTGCACAGGAATTTCAAATATATATAATCAAGAATAATCAATTAGCTTTCCAATCCACATCTCCATCGGTGTCTTCAGCTCAATTATAGTTAATAAAGATTGATTTATCATATAACAGGCGGTATGGACTACTTCTGTCCATAATAACTTTTCTAAACTTGCAGTCTTCAACATTGCTCTTGTTCTTTCTAATAGAGTTCTGTCCATTCACTCAGCCACTCCATTTTATTGTGGAGTATATACCATTGTGAATTGCCTTTTAATACCTTCATATTAACATAAGTTATCAAATTCATCACTGATATATTCTCCTTCATTGTTAGTCCTTAAACACTTAATCTTCTTTTTAGATTTAAGTTCCACCCATGTTTTAAAAGTTTTAAAGACTGCAAACACATCTACCTTTCTTATAATTAGATACACCCAACATCTCCTAGAGAAGTCATTTATGAATAATACAAAGTATCTTACTCTTTCCAAGGATACAATTGGTGCTTGCCAAACATCAAAGTGAATTAGGTCTAAGATGCATTTGCTCTTAGTTGTTGATGTGCCAAACTTCAACGTGAGCTCTTGACTTATAACACAGTGCTCACAAAAGGGTAAAGTAACCTTTGTAAGCCTAGGGAGTAAGTTCTAATCAGAGAGAATTTTCAAACCTTTCTCTGACATATGACCTAGTTTTTTATACCATATCATCATCGTCTTTGTTGTAGGACTGACTGATGTAATTGACGTCTTTGCCTTATGATGGGTTTATCCCATTAATATATACGAGTTTGCAACTATCTATCTTGCCCTTAAAACCACTAGCACTTATTTGATAATATTTATAATTCCTTTGTTTATTCGAATCTTACAACCAAGACTATCAAATTATCCCACAAATAAAATATTCTTCTTTAAGCCTTTCACATGTCGCACTCCCAAAATAGTACGAATTGAGTCATCATATATCTTCAATTTGATGGTGCCAACGCCGATAATCTTTAAAGCATGATCATTACCCATGAACACTGAGCGTTCATAGATGGGTTTATATGTATAAACATGATCATTACCCATGAACACTGAGCATTCATAGATGGATTTATATGTATGAAACTAATCTTGATTAGGAGTTATATACATGTTGCTTCTGAATCCATTAACCAAACCTTAGTGAGTTCCTTTCTATCTGTAGAGACTATCACCGCTTCATTATATAAAACCTCCCCATCTTCTAGGGTATTTGCAACATATCCGTAAGGTTTTGTTGACTCTATAGTGTTCTCTATATCCTTTTTAAACCAACAATTCTTTTTAAAGTGTTTTTTTTTGCCATAGTTGTAGTATTTCACAGTCTTTTTACTTCTTGATTTGGACTTCCCATGTCTTTGACTCCTACTATAGCCACGCTCCGTTGATATTCCTCTTGATATCAACAATGCCTCTGTTTGGTTTGAATTGTTTCTGTCTCCTTTGTTTGTGGGCCTATTTTTTTTATTTCTAAATAGTGGTAAATAGTCTGTGAGGATATTATTGGTCAAGTTAATAATGAGCTGATCATATAAATATAAAAGACTTTGAAGTAGAAGTTCTACACTTTTATTTTCCTCTATTTGTTAACCTAACGTAGTGAGTTATAAAAATAGAGTTCTTATTGTATTGATGTGGCCAGTCATCGACGGGGTTTCCGCCAATTGCTGGGTATAAAGTCTCCGCTTTAAGAAATTTTTATTATGCATAGACTTGGACTCTTATAACTTTATCAAAGTATTTCATATCTCGTTAGCTGTTTTTTTCTCTGCCACACTTGATAATGCTGTTAGTTGTTTTTTTCTCTGCCACACTTGATAATGCTTCATTAACTAATGCTAAATAAATGTTAGCAATAGCATTGCCATCCATCTCATTTCATTTTACATTATTAGTGATCTTTGTGGGTCGATCCCTAATTGCTGCCAAACAATTATTTTTCCTTAAGATTGTCTTGATTCTCATTTTCCACAGTGAGAAATTGCTTCCCTTAAACC